TTTGATATACAAAGTGTGTCCTAAATTCATATACTGGGGGATGAAAAAACGGTTTTTAAATTTTCGGATTTTTTTACATACATAATCCATATCCATACATATAAAAGCTCAAAGGTTTTTTTTGTTATATCCATCCCGCCGAAACCGCTTCACCAATCTTGATTCTTTTTTTAAATGAAAAGTATGTATGTATAGATTTGTTATGAAGTATTTTTATATTGTTTAATGGCTATTTCTTTGTGTAAAACGACTAAATACTAAAATATACCTGAAAAACACCTATACAAAATACCTCCAGAAATAAATTATTTATTTGTCATTGTCAGTGGTGTGTCAGTTAGATTATATATCAAGTTTTTAGATATTTTAGGGTCAGTTAATACCGCCAGCTTTAGAAACATAAATATTAGCACAAAGGTTCGTTTAAATGGCATTAGTGATTAGTGAATTAGCTACGCAAAGCGATTTTAGGAAATTCATCCTCTTAGAGTGTAAAATTATGTCGAACAATTTGTTGTATGAAAATTTCTTACTATCTGGTCTAGAAGAATGAAATTCTACAGAAAGAATTAGAAGAGATTATTGAAATTCATCAACCAAATGGGTAAAGTTAGTAAAAATTTATATAAACCTTCGTGACCTCTGGATTATACACATAAAAATTTGCACAAAGGATCATTTAAAAGACATGAGTTAATTATTTGGACATAGCGAATTTATGAAATTCATACCCATAGGGAGTAGAATAGGGAATGAAAGTTTGTTGTACAAAAATGCATTATTATTACTGTCCTCCATTCATGCAGTTGTGCAGCTCTGAACTGTTCAAGAACGCGATACTCTCACTCCATTCAATTGAGTCATAAAGTTCAGAACTGTTCTGCGCCATATGGACACCCATATCCTAGGCTATCGCGCTCAGCTCCTTTCAGAACCGTTCTGAGTAGCCCAGGGCGTAAAGCTCTGGAACTTGAAATTTGGAGGACAGCATATAACATCTAGAAGTATAAAATTTTATACAAGGGTTTATTTAGTGACATCAATAATATGAACGAAATATTTCTGAAGTGTTCAATATTAAATGTAGATATTCTTCAAGTTATGCGAAGTAACAAGTAATGTTTCCGGTGAGACCGCGTATTATGTCACCGGATTCTGGTTAGTATAAAGACTTTTTTCTATAGAAAGAGTTTTTTCTATATTTTTCTTTCAAAATAAGACTAATTTCTTCTTATTCTTTTAAATATTACAGTGTTTCTTTTACCTAAAATGTTATACTTAATTTTCACTTATAATTAAAAAATTACAAATGGAGAAAAATATAAGTTATTGAATAAAGTTTATACAAATCACTTTACCATAACAAAAAAGTAACAACATGTCATGGCGGAAGATATTCAGGTGGTATTTCACACATTTATCTATTAAAATCGGGATTAAAATAATAAACTTGCGTAACATGTTATACATGAGAAAGAAAGTTTCAGAATCGATTAATACGCAATACGCTACGCAGTCAAGTTGTTCCTATGCGCGGATGAGCGTCTTTTTTTGACCAATCAGGTTGGTTAGCGTGGTTATTTGAAGGGTGTTAATTCATTTGTGTTTGTCAACAACTCTAACGTGTTTGGTCGGGCTTAATAGTTGCCTGCTAGGGCTAGACACAAGTGGCCAGGGTCACGACACCGTGCGCCGCCGAAGAGGAATCGGCCTACGTTTGGTTAAACAGGCTGGACACGGTGGACTACGATATTGGCGAGTCTGAATATTTATAAAAAATTGCAAAGTAAAATATGTTGGAAAAATAATTAATAATTTATTAAATTATTTTATTTAACTGATTAATTTTCATTGAAAAGGCATTTTGCAATTCGCCACTATATTAGATAAAAACTAAGAAACTTATATCAAATTTAAGTTTTGCGATTTTGACCTATACTTTTAACAAAATCTGAACACATTTTAAAAAGTTTTGATAATTTTGTGTAGATTGACTACAAGTTGTATAACATAAATTTCTACGACCGGTCTACCTAGTGGTCTGCAGCATCGCCTTGTGGTGCAAACGTGGGCCTGTTAATCTGTGACGTGACGCACAACATTCAAGAAAAACAGAAGCGTGGCTAATAATTTAGTAATTTAAAAAAATGTCTTTTAGATACAGTAGTAGGTATTAAAAAGTTTTGTGTTTAAATGGGATTTGCCTTTTATTAATTAAAATTATATCGTAAAGTGTAACTTTCCGTATAAGAATTCTTTATCTGTCATCGATCATGATCTGTCATCATGTTAAACTGATGTTTTGTATGTTATTTTGTTTTTTTGCTTGTTTGTTTTACGGATAGGTGGCAATCGCATAATTATTATTGATTATTGATAATGTTTTATTTAATGTTAACATTACTACTTTTTCAGTAAATGTTTAAATCTGTTGTGTTTTGTTAAGTTCGTTATTTAAACATATGTATGTAATACACTCATATTAACACTAATCATATTTTTACGTTTTTATTCATCATTTTCAATGCCCCCCGGTTGCATCTTTGTAAAGGACTGTGAATTTTTTTGTTATTCGAGTTAAATTAATAAACCGACCACTTCTGCACACGATTCGTCTTCTTTCCTCAACCCGAACACCCAGACCCTGAGAGCAGTATCCGTCTAAGAGACTGCTGCACCATAAAATATTTTGTTTCTACTTCTTTCAGTTTTCATATAATCAACCGAGGCGAATAAAGTGCGCCACCCTGTATAATTAAATCGAAAATATATTTTTTATTTAATGCATATCCGAAATATGTTTCTTACAATTTTTACAATAATATACAATTGTTAATATTTCCTTATTCAACATAACAAGAAAAAAAAACAAGAATCTCTAACGAAACGAATGCAAAACGGAATGTTATTATTCTAGAAGCAAGACTATACAATAATAATTATATTCACAGTCACATTATATCGACAAAAAAATACGATCTGTTCAGCGATCATTTAACGGTACGTCATCATTATTTGTCAAATATATGCGTTTTAAGGTGTGTCTGAGATAAGTTCATATTATTTAGAAAATTTTAAATACGTTCTGAAATTATTAATCGAGTGAGTTCCGTTTTTATTAAATTAATGTAGGTATGTTAGGCCTTTGCTATTATTATTTATTTATATTGTCTTAAATAATTATATATATTAGTACCTCTTAAACTGTATAAGAAATGTCTATTTTCAAAACATCATCAAAACGCTTCAACGCTTTATCAGTGTCTCTTTTTTCGCGTAAAATAAGTAAAAACTTTGCAATGAAAACTTGGTCACTCTTGTTAAATCAGCAAGTATTTTAACAATAAATCAAATTAAAAATTGTTTAACAGTGCAAACAAATTTTAATTTTGACAGTGATCAATGTCCGTCAAAAAAAAATGTTAACCTCAAGTCAAATGACAATGACAATTACTAAAAACAATGATGAGAGGCTAAATCACCCAGGCTCAACCAACGTTGCCAAATGTCCACCCACTTTATGCTAGCAGAACGAAGCCTGTTTATTGTTTATTTGCAAAAGCAGCAGTGGTTCAGTTATTGAGGCGATCGTTTCGGAAGTCAGAAGTCTCGGGTTCGAACCTCGACAGATATACAACGTTTTTATACGGCCATATCAATAGGTATGGTAGGCTATTAAGATCGGCAATAAAAAGTTTTTTTAATTTCACTCAAAATGAGTTATATGGGTCATAAATGACCTAAATAGAAAATATTTTCATGGTGTTTGTCTGTCTGTCTGTCCGTCTGTCTGTCTATCTGTCTGTCTGTCTATCTATCTATCTGTCTGTCCGTCCGTCCGTCCGTCCGTCCGTCCGTCCGTCTGTTTGTCTGTCTGTCTGTCTGTCTGTCTGTCTGTCTGTCTGTCTGTCTGTCTGCCTGCCTGCCTGCCTGTCCGTCCGTCCGTCCGTCCGTCCGTCCGTCCGTCCGTCCGTCCGTCCGTCTGTCCGTCTGTCTGTCTGTCTGTCTGTCTGTCTGTCTGTCTGTCTGTCTGTCTGCCTGTCCGTCCGTCCGTCCGTCCGTCTGTCTGTCTGTCTGTCTGTCTGTCTGTCGTCTGTAACACGATAATTCAAAAACCGCTAAACCGATTTTAACCAAATTTGGCACAAAAATACTGTGGCATCCGAGAATCTGGCCATTAGTTTTCGGTGGGGGTGTGGAGGTTGGTAAGGGGGTATGGGACGGAGTTAAAAATTTAAAAAAATTGTAACTCCAAAATTACAGTAGCTAGCTGAAACGCGGATTTCAATTTAAGATTAGGAATAATATTTACAACAAAATTTGTAACAACATCAAAATCAGTCAAAGTCGCAGTTTTTGAGATAAAAAAAATGGAAAAATTCTTTTACTTTGAAACTAAAAGAACTGCCTACCAACTTTTTATTAACATATTTTAGTATCGGCGGCTATACGTACCTCCCGGGGCCATTTTTTTTTCAAGTGTCGAGATTGAGAGGTTGGTCTAGTGATTTAATTGCGTTGGTTTCACTCTTATTGGTGGAGTTGTATTTATTATTTGGTGGGGTTGATTGCATTGGTTAGGTTAGCTATTTGGTGGGGTTGGTTTGGTTTTTACTAATTTATATTTGTTTGGCATTATTTTACGCCGTAAAATGCTATACTTGTTTTGATTGCGTTGGTTAGTCTCTCGGGTAAGTTTTTATTTAAATTGCACGCGAAATACCCGACCAAGTAAAAGTGAACATTTGGCAACATTTGGAGCCTGGGCGATTTAACCTCCCGTAAAACAATGTCCAGTAATTTACGAAATGCTGTAATGACGTCACAAATCTCTTTCATCTGGTTGTCAAGTAAAAGAGGGAGTTTGACAATATATGACGTGCTGTTGAACAATCGCTGAACAAACAATATAAATAAATATCATTTTTATTCACTGACATTTTAAGGAACTAATTTTATTGATTTAAAAATATGTTCTAACATATACAGTAATATTACAGATAAAGGAAACTCAAACCATAATTAGAACAATCAAAGATAGTCAGCCACAACTGGAAACTGGTATTGAGGGAATAGCAGCAGATGATATTGTATATGACTTAGCCGAAAATATAATTAACAGTATTTTGAAACAAATATCCATGGAAGATGTAAATATTTATTTATTTAAGGTAAGTAACTTAAATACTATTAAACTAAATTCATTATAATTCAATGTATCTAAAAATTAAAACTACATACATAAATACATGCGTAAATAATGCATTAAGGAAATGTCTCAATATTTGTGACATAACTAATATTAGTGGAGAATATTCGACTAAAATATTTTCATTCTATATACCCTTTGTTGCACCGTCGATCTAAACATAGGAAATCCCATGAATGTAAATTTAAAAAATAATGAATAAATTTTTTCCATTTTATTTACAGGAACATTTATTTGACACTTTTTAAAGAACTCCGTAAAATGAAGTAAATTGTTCATTTTCTATAGCTACTATGAAGTCCTTTTAGATTATTATTTATTTTATAACGTTAGAAAATACTAAATTAATTGAAAAAATTATCCGGTCCTGATTTGAATAACAAACATGCCACCTTCACATTCAATTTTTCAGTAAAATTGACGTTATTTGTTTTAAAGAATAACTTTTTTATTGTCATATCGAATTTATACGTGCCAAAAATAATTTGTAAATATGAATCATACAACTGAAGAAAAAAAATGATAGTGGTATCATGGAGGGAATAGTCTACAGGTTGTAAAGGATTTATTTTCCATATATTTTCCAAATAGGCACTATTATAGTCTTTAAGGCTATAAATGCAAAAAAGAAGAATCTCAACAGTTAAAAATAAAGATAGTAAATATAAAAAGAAAAATAAATTTAATAAGAATCATCGAGAAGTAATAAAATGAAAATGAATTAAATATTCTGTACAAGTGGAAGATAGAGAAAATCAAGTATTAACAAAGTATTCTGGTACTTACACCAGAATACTTGGAGAAATAGTCGAAAAACATCGTACCACTGCTCGGCAAATTTTGAAGAAGCATAATTTTAAATCATTTAAATATTCTGAACAGCAAGATTTATTGGGCAGTGGTGAAGAACGTAGGGAAAATTTCCTCCATTTTATAATTAACAATTATGTGTATAAAGTGAACTTTTTGTATTTTTTCATAGAATTTAACTTGTTTGAGAGGACATGTTTGAGAGATCTCTGTAGAAGAAAATCATAATAGATTTGTGATATGGTGACTAAACTTGTGATTGTGTAACGTGCCAAAATTTCAATGGTCTATTTTACTTATTTTCGTCAATAATTTAACGCTAGTAAATATTAATCTGAAATATCGATCAGTTCAATTCAGTAAACCAATAATAAGTAAATATTACTTACATGTTAACAAAAGTAATTATTCCATTCCTATTTTTAACTAAATATACATATAATGTATAGCTAGTAAGGCAGGTCTTTAGAAGAAAGTAAAGCGAATCTCTTATTCATCGAGAGTGATGCAATACAATAAGAAAAAAATAACTAATGTTGTTAGAAAGCTGATTCAAAAATATACTGATTTCCGTCAAACTGTTTCTCATCGAATAGTTTTAATTAATCAAAAATATTTATTTTTTCCACTCAAACAAGATTGTCATAGGATAACTGAGTTTTGTGTTGATTTTCTATTACAAAGGATTAACCTTTACGTGTTTGTGCGTGCATTGGGACATACATATTTTGCAAGTGAACTAACACACATTGTTCCATACGTGAGAGTAACGAAGAATTCAAAAGTTATAATAGAAATTTTAAAGGTGTTCGAGAGATTCCATTTGGATGACGCTAGAGCTCAGTTACTGCGAAGATTTGAAGGCAAGTTACAACCCGGAGAAGTTAGAAGCACAATATCAAGAAAACATAGACCTCTTCGTCAATATCGTACTCCGAAATATTTAAAAATATATATTTTGTTTTAAGGTGAAAAATGTCAAATGAGAATATTGAACTTATTAGCGCAGTAATATGTATTCATCAAGAATTTTATGAATCATTTCATGACACTTATCAAAAACTTAGACAGTTGGAAAAAAATATATTATGATATGATTCGTAAATATGAACAAGGAATGAGTGCGTGTGCACAATATTATGAAAATCATGATATATTAGAATTATTCTCTGTAATGATAGACTTAGGCTTTATAAATCAAATAACATATTTAAATAAATTTGTTATAAATGGGGGAATAGCCTACGAACAAGTAACAGACGATGTAAACACTAACATGAATAGTAACTTAGTTAACCAGGATAATTCATCCAATAACTTAGTTGATGTAGAAGTACTAATTTAGTTAAAATTATATTTTAATAATAAAAGATGTAATAAACATTATATAGATTTTTATTCATTCATAAAAAAAATCATACAAATACAATACATTTGATAATGCACACATACAAGTTGACTTAGAATGATGAAAGCATTTTGGTGTTCCTATAGGCAAAGCTGGTTGTTCATCTATTTCAATTACTGGTTTTTTGGAATATTTCCTTACAAACGCAGCTTTTTCAACTCCTTTAACATAAACAAATTCCACTTCTACTTCAGTGAGTTTTTCAATTATATTTGAAAAATAATGGTGAGGTGTAAATCCTTCATTCCAGTTGATACAATGATGGTTTTTCATTAGCCATACTGCCTATCTGTGACATTCTGGTGACAGTCTAATAGGGTTTCTTAAACATATGATGTGAGATTCTATGTCCATCAAAGGCTGCAAGTTCTTTAGGTAAAAATGTGTTTTTCTCATCTTTAAATCCTTGTATATCCACAATCAACCTCATATTTTTAGTTCGCTAAACTTTTTAATTAGACTTTTTTGTCTTGAGTAATTTGTAATTTGTTCTTTCAATTTTTGTATTTTAAAAATAAATTTTTGTATTTCTAGTTGAAGTGTTGATGACATATTTACTACTACAGACTTTGTTTACTTATTTTATATTAAATCTAAATATTAAGAGAGTGGGGGTAAAAGTTATAATTGTTTAACAATCTTTGTTAAAGGATTGTAACTAAATAATTTGTCATGTAAAATAAGACAATAAGCAGATGTGTCCTTTTTAATTGCACTGTTTGTTTCAAATTCTATCCTCATTACTACAGAACCCGTTTGAAGCGTTTCCTTTTGGTGAGAACAATCAATATGTGTAATTGGTGAAATCTCTTTGAATTTTTCAGGATTAAAAATCGGTTCATTAGACATACCATAATAAGAATAGCGAAAATTGGCAAACATTTCATATAATGCTGAAAATTTATTATCTTTGAAATTCAAATACAAGTCATGATAAGGATATCTTTCAGAATTTAAAAATATTCTAATATTTGTCAAATCAACATTGTCAAATTGACTCATATCTTTTTTAACATCTGCTTTTCGATTTTCTTGAAAGGCAATTATTACATGACGGCGAGTTTCAAGTTTACTAGTTGTTTTTACAGGCCATGTGTGTCGTGTTGTTTCAGTTAGCGAAGAGTATTCAACCAGTTCCCAACTTCTAAATCCAATTAGTACATCTTTATTTGACTCCAATATTCTAGTGAGAGCTAGTTGTTGTAGTATATCAACTAAAATATGAGGTACTTTCCAATAGATTTTATCAAAAGAAACGTTTGGGGTTTCTGAAGTTGTAGATGGAGGTGTTACATCATCCTTAAAGAAAACTCCATCTAAGTCATTATTAGATCTAATAAGAACCAACTCTTTTTTCATATTAATTATAATTTTTTTGTAATCTTCAAAGAATCCCATTAGCAGTTTTGATGGTATAGATACGGAGAATTTTCCATTATCATCAACTATGATTCTGTCCTCTTCTTTTCTGTGTGGAAACCAACCTGTATTTTGCAGTTTTAAACTTTCATTTGTGTTACTGGATAGATAACCTTTTAATGTTGATGCTAGCCCTACATTACTTACGACATCAATGGTAATACCATTTAACTCATAACAAATTTCTCTAAATAAGAAAGCTATACCATTGTTCGTAAACCGCAATCTCTTTGTATAATTTCCCTCCGTAACTTTCTGATGGTAGAGTGTGAGCATCAAGTTCTTGGATTGGTATACGTATTTCATCATTATAGTCAAATTTTGAAGAAATGTATGGTTGATAGGTATGCAGTTCTGAGCTGACAATAGAGTTATCAATATACAGGGTGTCCCAGAAATAAGTGTAGATATTTTAACTGGTAGTATAGTTCAACCCCAGAAACACGCCTATGAGGTTTTTTTTGCGAAAAAAAAATGTTGAAAATTTGATATTTTTCTTGACATTTTCCGGAAAATGTTGAAAAACTTTTGAGTGCCACTGTCCACTCCCCGGGAAATTCGTTTACCGGGCATAGCGCGTGTCGGAGAGAATGCAACGTTGCCACCTCCTACCATACCCACATTCTGCATGTTTACCTATAAATTCAATTATTTTAAGTTGCTACAGAAAAAAATACGAAAATTTATTTTATTCATATTAGTGTAGATTGCTCTACTAATTCTAGAGAAACGCGCAATATTTTAAATACTTTTTACAGTGGAGTAAACTGAAAAAATAAATCTTAACAATTATCATAGCTTCTTTTTTCGCCATATTAGGAAATATTTTCAATCGTTTCAATAAACAATTATAACCTTTAATGTTTAGTTAGAGCTTACCCTTTTGATGAAAGTGTTTTTTATCCAGCACACATATACGCAAACACATACACACCAAATATCTATTAAACTGAACATCACAAACCTATCACATGCCTATCACTTTTAAAATATTATTTAAAATTTTTCACATGATAATAATCAAACACTAAACTCATAAATTCAATAAAAAATGTTAAAAAACTTGCTTTAATAACTACTTAGGTATATCCGGCGGCTCATGGTAGACAGACATTACGGGGTTTTCTTCGACATTTCTTCAAAACCGACGCAACCCCAACGACGATTTCGAAAACACTGAAGGAACAGGAAGGAATTACAAATCACAAATTTTTATTTGGAAATTTTTTGACTTAACGTCCTCTACTGGACTGATGTATTACTATTATGGGTCAACGTTTTGGTGGTTGTATAAAGATAGATAAATCAATTTTCTAAATGTTTAA